GAGAGTCTCATCATCTACTCTGTGCTGTCTGAACCTAGTCTCAACCCAAAACTGGCTCCTCAGGCCAGTGAGAACCAATGAACCAGAGTGAGTCATGAGAGCTGGTGGAACTCAAAGGAGCTAGACCAGCACTGCTCAGCCAAAACTGCATTTAGCAGCCATGTTCTTAAAGAAACGGATGAACATTGTATTTATTAAATTTTATTTAACCCAATATATCAAAATAAAAAGCTATCAATTTCCTATTTTGCATTTTTATACAGTCTTCACAATCTTTCCATTGTAATTTTATGCCTAAGGCACATCTCACTTTTAGCCACATTTCAAAAACTCAGTTGCATGTGGCTAATGGTTAGTGTAGTGGACAGTGTGACGCTGACCAGCTCAGAAGGGACAGTATAACCAGCACCCTAAATCATGTGTGTGTGAACATTTATCTTCTCTACCACTGTTTCCTTTTTGCACAGGAGCTTGATACCTAAATATATTTATTTATAATAGATTTGATCAGCTCACCGAAGGAAAGATGTATCTGTTACAAACAGGAATCTGCACTGGCAAGGTTGCACCCTATACCTTGTAACTCAGATCTTTGGAACCGCCCATTTCATCACAACTGTGTGCAAGCCAAAGATGTCAGATTATGAACTTTTATGGGAAGAAATACTCAAGCTAGATCCTAAACTCTGTCCTATTACTAAAGTATTCAGAGTGATTGTGTAATCGTAGTCCATTGGCTGAGCAGACAAGCTGGATGGGGCTGACAAATATAGTCGCTAGAGAAAAAGAGCCATTGACACAAGCACTCTTCTTTTGTACATCTTGGAGAAAGAAGAGGGGAACACCAGCAGATGTCAGACAGGACTTTAATGATGTAGAGATGGCAAATGAAATGCAAATCAAAGTCAAGTTGAAGCAGGGCTCCCATCCTCTTGCCTTCTGACAGTTTTCCAAACTCACACATAATTTTCCATTGCCCAAGTGGAGAAGTGCTGTTGGTAAGACCGCTGAGAAATTGCAGAGTGTAGAATGGGAAGTCAAGTGTAACCTCCTTGCTCAGCTCCCACTGATCCTCTGCTGATGGAAGCCAGGTGCTCCAGCTCTGCCTGTGTTAGGAACAAACTCCCTGAAACACCTCGCAACACAGACTGCAGGGGCTGGCTTTCATATGGTGATAAAAGCCACGCTTAGTTAGGTGCTATTGAAAGTTGCTTACAGCAACTGAAATGATTTTAAATCTCTGTACACTGATCTCCAAGCCCATTTGATTAATATTAATACCAGATATGAATAAATTTGAATCCCCAAATATAGTGTATCTCAAAGTCATAAAATCGTATCTTTCAGACAAATATGCCAATGAGGTGATTGCACACTGGTAGTCTCAAGAGTCAGAGAGCTGAACAAGGAAGATTCAAAATTGCAGCTCAACTAGGTGACTTAGCAACTTATACTCTGTCTCAAAATTTAAAGCATAAATAAAGTCTGGGGATGTTCCTCAGTGTGAAGGCCAGGTGTTCACCAAGGTCAGATTCAAGGATAGAGGCATGCTTGGTACTGGTGGCAGCGTGCATGTTGCCACCACTCTTGAGTGATGAAGTTTTACTTTTGAGTCAAAAACAATTATTTTGACCAATGATTCGACTTATAAGAGTATATCTTCTGGAAATAAGTCAAAGGTTTTATAGGGATCCTCAGCAACCATTATTAAATAAATTGACCATAGCCTAATACGTTGGACTAATACAAATTTTTAGAAAAAGGACATAAAGCTTTTATGTGCCAACATAATTATTTGTAAGTGGTGAGAATATACGGAATTAACTTTTTAAAAATGTAGTTCCCTCCCCCTGCATTGTAAACCCAAATATCGAGTTCAGTCATCCAAGTACTGTAATCCTGTCTCTAGTCTTCCTCACAATTCAAAAAGTTGTATTTATAATCCCATTGAGACATTATTGGAATCCCAGCAAGTTAATTCCAATCTACCGTCACTCGTGCAACCCATAGTGAGAGTAAAGACACAAAGAGATGGTCCAAGTTAAGGGCAGTCAAGGGGTCCTAAATCTAATCCTCATAAGGACATGCCTGGATCCTAGGCCTCTCCAGCATTTATTATCTTGTGAAGAAGGCAAGGTGGCTCAGGGATGAGTGACAGTGAGGATGGGGGGAGTAACTTGAGCTGGCTGGCCAGATGCAAGAATGGCATCTCTGTAAATTGCAGAGATAAAGACATGCAGAAGGATCAATTTACATAATCCAATTAAGGTAGCAGTGGAATTGTTTTGGGGGGCTATTTCTTTGGTTTTTTATATGCAAACTCTTGTGCCCAGAGAGTCATAGCCTCTTATCTTGAGGCTCTACCCAGTTGACATTCCCAGAGCTATTTGCTCTAACATTTAGTGTGCTCAATCCTGTTCATATCTGTACCGTGGAGAACACTATTCCAGGAAATAGGACTGTCTATTAGCTATAGAAATTGCATATTAGCACCTCGGCTAACCTTATTTGCAATGCTTAGAGCCAATTGAAGAAAGAAGGCAATACTCTAGCCAACTTTTTACATATCAGTATAAGGAAATGAGTCTCCAAATAATGAAAGTCACAGTAATTGTTTTGGATTCCAAAGGAGTCACTGAGGGGCAGGGTTTTAGCTCAGAGGTGTAAGTGCTTGCTTGGCAAATATGAGGTCGTGAGTTCAATTCCCAGTACCAAAAAAAAAAAAAAACTACAAGTCACAGGGAGTCACTGGAGTTGTCTTCCATACCCCCACTAATTCCTCTTTAATGAGACTGAGTAACTTACTGCAAATCTCTGTTAGTTCAGCAAAAAGAACAGTTTGTGCCTTCATTGTTTGGTTGTTTGATCATTTTTTCATTCCTAAATTTGTAACCTGAACAACTGCTTCTAAGATAACAATACGCAATATATTAACTACCATTAATTTCCTATTTTTTTTTGAAATTCTGTGTCAATTCTATCCTTTTTTCTGTTTTGCTTTTTAAAATTAAAAAAAAAAAAACTAGAAAGATTTAAGAAAAAAAAATTTGGCTAGTTTTGAAGCATACAAAACTGACATCAATCCTACCCAACCATTTTAGGAGAGGAACCTGCCATTTTATCAAAGGTTGTAAAAATATGTAACTCCTTTGATTCAATAATTTCTTCTCTGGAAACTGGAGTAATATGTATCAACCCCAAGTAACAGACTGAAGGCTAATTTTGGTGGATTGTGTGTGCATTTATTTTCTAAATTTCCAAAAAGAACAAATGTAGCAAAGGAAATTAAGGATCCCCATAGTTTCCTGGAATTGTTATTTCCTTATTAAGGAAATGAGATACAAAGCTGTTTCATCCACACATGTACCTCCTTGTTGGTGCCCACACATAGGGAAACTATAGAGGCTTGTGTTTCCATCCTAGATGGGAGAATATTCGTAACACATTAAAGAAACGGGGGTGGGCAGATATGCAGAAAGCTTTCTTCTGTCTCAGAACATTTAGTGAGACATTCTGGGCCATTAAAAAATGGAACATTTCAAGGTCAAAGACATATCTTTGTACCAGGAATCAAACTCATGACCTCATGCTTACCAGGCAGGCACTTAACCTGTCGAGCTAAATCCCCAGCCTCAAAGTCAAAGATACATCTTAAAAGGCAGAAGGGTTTATGCTGAGTACCTGTTAGTGTGGCCTCTACCTTGACTCCTGGGGCATAATCCTTGGGTCTGGATTATGTGCATTAGTTATAGAGCCTACATGAAAGGTACGAGAAGAGAGTCTCAATAAGCAATGCCACAGTTTGAAATTCAAATCAGTGTTACTGTCTTCTATAAAGGGAAGTTGGAGAGAGATTCTGCTGATTCTGAGAGCCACAGAGAGAGGTAAAAGAGAGGAGAATGAGCTCCCCGGAGACCCATCTCCCAGCTCAGCAGCTGTCTGCATTTTGCCAGCTCAGGACATCTACTTTTTCCCACGCACACACACTTCTTTTACTGAAATATATTACAAAAATCTAAGAGATTGTGTCATTCCACCCCAAAATACATTATTTCTCATACATTTCACCCTTGAATACACTTACCTCTAACTGAAAAGGACATTTTAACTAGCCACCATATTATCAGCCACCTAAACAAAATTAACGAGTTCCTTAATACATCAACTAATATGTACACCGTATCTTAGTTTGTGCCGACTGCCATCAAGAATGTTTGCTGGGTTTAATCAAGGTCCACATACTACACTATTTGCCTGTTTCAAAGTATTTTAAAACCGGAGTTTCTCAACAGACTTGATGTACATTGTTGTACTTCTATATGCAATGGAACGAAGTAGAATTTATAGTCATCGCTCCTCCTCATCCTTTTCTTCCTCTTTCTTCTCCTTCTCTTGTTCTTCATTTTTGCCTTTGTCTTCCTCTTCATCTCCTTCTGCATCACCATCTTTATTATTCTTAGCAAAACTCAGTCACATAGCTTGATCATTTTATTATCAGGCTCTACCTCTCTGTCCTCTCATTTTTTGTCCCTCAGTGTCCAAGGATTTTTCACCAAGGAAGATAATGAAATCTCCTTTCACACAGTGCTGTGGAATCTCTAGGTCGATGCAGCAGAAAGGTCTAGATGCAGGATTTGGGTAGGAATCGTGGGCAATGGTTCTGTTTGTCAGATTTGAAGGGGCATCTTCCCTCAGTGTAAAAGAGAGAGAGAAGCCAGGTGTGCTGGCTCATGCCTGTAATCCCAGCACTCAGGAGGCTGAGGTGGGAGGATCATTGTGAGTTTGAGACCAGCCTGGGCTACAAAGTGAGCTCAAGGCCAGCCTGAACTACATAGTGAGACCCCATCTCAAAAAAAGACAAAAAAAAAAAATCAGAGATCTTTTCACCACCACATTCACATAAACTGAGTGTTCACATTTCTATCTGCTCAACTTACCTGTTCTTACAAGGGTCATTTGATTTACCACTAAGTATAACCAATGTGTTTGTTTTTATACAGATAATTGCGTACCAGCCATATGGAAAGTCTGTGGACTGGTGGGCCTATGGCGTCCTGTTGTATGAAATGCTAGCTGGACAGGTAATGCTCACTACATTTTCACCTTTGTATATTGCTGTACCGTGTGACTGCATCAGTTCTGCTGGCCAGTGATACCAAGAGCTAACAGTGTCATTGCCTAAAGTTGGTCTGACTTCTCCGACCCAAGGGAAAAGAAGCAATTTCCCTTTGAGAGTATATCATATCCAGCACAGATGCATAGAAATCAGCTTCGTAACAATTCCAATGGGAAGTTGTAGCCTGGAGTGTGGGCAGTGTTGCTCCAGTGTGTATTCATGCTGATGATGGCAACACCCTCAGTAAGTTTTCAATATCACAAAACTGAGCCTGGGCTGTGTTTCCCAGCAAGTTCATCTGCAAAGATTGCCCCAGATGCGGCCGTGTCTAACATGGTGATATTACTAAGGAAGAAATCTCCTACATTCAGGAAGCATTTTAGTAGTTCCTCCCCATCCTTCCTATCCCTTCCCCACCCTTGATAATTCACTGTAATTTTCAACCAAGTCCAGCAAGGCTGAACATCCAGTTAATTTTCTTATCAGAGAACCAAATGTATTACTGCCCAAGGTGATACTTTCTAATATAATTCCTTTACTATCTGTGTCTCTTTACACATAAAAATTATCCTTGTGGGTGGCTTTTTGTAATTCCCAGAATTCAAGCACTAATGCTAAAGAGTCTGACCTCCATAGGCAAGAGCCTTAGTAAGAGAAGGTGGACCAGAACAATGATGTTGGACAGCAAAGCGCCCTCCACACTGAGCTCGGCGTGGAGCATCTGCTTAGCGTGTGTGAGACCCTCGACTTCATCCCCAGCACCAAAAAAAAAGGAAAAAAGACTAGGATGTAGGTCAGTGGAAGGCTCAAGCCCTGGGCTCCATCCCCAGAATTTCCCAAAACAAAAAAAAGAAAGGCAAGAAAACCATCTCTGTTCTGTTTCTAGAGGGCAAAAGTTACTTTCTTACCTGCCACATCCCTTAACTAATTTATTAAAGGCTCATGGCCTGCACAAAGCGCTAACAGTGAACAAAGCAAAGCTTCTCACCAACGGGAAGCTTGGGCTCACAGGAGCAGGGACAATAGACAGGTTAGAAATGTAGCCCATTAGTGATAAACTCTGGAAAAGATAATAAGGCAGAAAAGAACATATTATTGTGTTGCTGGTGGGTTTTAATTTGAACTCAGATAGCCAAGATGGCCTTACACAGAGATAAAATTAATAACAGAGGAGATGAGGGAAGGTGTCTGCATGGCTGGAGTTGTTGTTTCCTTATTAAGGGAGTAAGATACAGGCCGAGGGAGCAGCAAGGCCAAAAGCCCTGAGGCGAGCGTGTGTGGCCATGTTTCAGTAGAGGGGACGCCAGCGGTGTGGCTGCAGCAGAGTGAAGGACCTGAGGAGGCTGAGGTCCAGGGGTGATGGATCTTCGGGGTGTGTGAGCCCGAGGTCACGGCAGGGCCACTGGCTTTCCTTCTCCGCCCCTCCCGTAGCTCTGTCATTATGTTTTACATCTCGTAAATGCTAAGATAGTACTTTAGATGTTGAAAGACTAAGGTGCTAGCCTAGGTTTAGTCATTATTTTTCAGTGATTTCAGATATTAAAAATGTGTGTGAGTCCACATTCACTGTGCGTAATGATTACGTTTGCTGTGGGGAGTTGGGCCGTGGCCATCCACAGCTTCAGACTTTTTACTTTCCCTTCTCCCTGTGTCTCTAGATCCCCTTCCCATTTGCAAAAGATCTGTTTCCCATTATCTTTTCCCCCATTCCCCTCCATTCTCTTCGGCTCCTCTTCCCCACCTTATTTACAAAGAAGCAAAGCTTTGCAGTGATGTTAAGACATGGTTGACATCCAAAGGCTGGTTTGTTTGTCTGGGTTTTTTCAAAGATTCTTCTTAGGTCGAATACCCCAGTGGGCAAAGACAGAAATGCAAAGACAGAAATCCAGGCTGCTGTCTGTGAGACAACATCGGGAAAAACACAAGTTTCTATGCCTGACATTAATTTCCCCTCTTTAAAAGTTTGACAATAAAATTTGACTGTGGAGTCCCCGTCCCCTGGGAGCTGTGCCTTGCTGGAAGGCACAAGGAGCCAAGTTCCCCTCCTGGAGGAGCCCACTGGAGTGCTCACCGCCAGAGCCCAAGAAACAAATTCTGCTTTCATTAAATCATATTTGGGGGGCTGGGGATTTAGCTCAGCGGCATAAGTGCCTGCCTTGCAAGCAGGCAGTCGTGAGTTTGATCCCTGGTACCGATAAAAAACGAAAAAGACCAAAAACAAAAAATCATATTTGCAGAAACCAACGTGTGAAATCAGTTGGCCAGAAAAGCAGGCCCTCTTCTTAGTGCGTTTTACAGCAGGTGATGTGAGCTGTCTCTTTATTGGCCAGCAGGGGACTAGAGTTTCAGAACACAACCTGGTCCTCCCTCCTCCCTCCCTCCTCCCCAGGCCTGGCTGCCTCTCCTCTCCCTGCATCCTGTCTTCCTGTAATGCATTCTCCAGGAGAAAGGCTAGGCCACACCCCAGTCTGGAAAGGAGGTCCCTTAGGTGCCTTTTGAAGTCCTGCCTGCCTGGGGCCTCCCGTGCACTATGGCCCTGATGCAGTGTCCAGCCTGCATGGAAGGCGCCTGGCTTTGCCTGGTCGTGTCCCTGCAGAGTGCTGGGACAATGTGCTCCCCACACCCAGCGGCTCTACAAACATTCTGGCACGGTATTGATTTTTCCTGTCCTGCTTCTCAGAGCCAGTAGGGCTGCCCTGTGTGCAACCCTTGAAATCTTAAGCCCTCTTGAAAGTGGTGATATTCTTCAAAAATGACTCCCAAAGGCATCCTGCATGCTGGTCCCATGGTGAGCACAGGTAGCAGCCTTTGTCCCTCCTAAATCCTCACTTCACACACTGCAAAGTTGGTACCATTCAAAGCCCCTTCTTCATCTTTCGCTCTCTCTCCTCCATACAAATTTAAATGAATTTCTTGTTGCATCTCAACCCAGAAAGGTTGATGAAGATTTTATGGCTATTACTGAGGGCTCCTCGAAGCTGCAGGAACTGCAGAGCCCCAGCAAAAGGAATAGATGCTGTTATTGAAAAGCAAGATTAATGATGAAGTTGCTGGTGTGATTGTGGTTTGAATTTGTCATCCTTAACACTGAGGGCTGAAGATTAGGTGAAAAAAAATAGTTTATTGCCATTTTCTTCTCATTTGCATTATTTATTGTCAGCAGCCAAGGGGGCAGTTAAGTATGAACAGCCAAGTCTTAATTCTGTTCTTGAATTGCTTGACAAATATGATTGCTTTTGGGGCATAAATAGTCCCTACCCAGCCCTCTAATGAGCATATTGCTGCGCGAAGTGTTCATAGTATTCATCAGAAGGGACTGGCCCTCTCCTCTGTATGTCCTTTTGTTCCAAGGTTATTTACACTCTGTCTTCATTCCTGATGAATCAGTAACTGGCACTTTATCTCCATAATTGGACCTTCAGCCTGAATAGTGCATGGGTCCTCTCCCAGCCCCCATCCCAGGCCTCTGTGGTTTGCAAATAAATGTGACAGAGGCCAAGCATCGCTTAGAAAGAAGTGATTTAGGAATCATTTTTTACACTGTATGCCATCACCCCTCCATTGCCTGTTTAAAATTCACAAATGATGTGGTGCTAAGGCAGAGTGAGAGATACAGCCCATTCAGAAAATTTTCCACCAACCCAAAACTTAATAGGTACCTTCACTTGGCACATTGGGCGCAGCTTTGTAGAAATGAAAAAGATAACTTTGGGAATAGGGGCAGATGGGGTGAGAAGCAATCTAAAATGGTTGAGTGCTAACACGTTATCCCCTACGCCCCCAAACTAAGATGCTGTCATGACAGGCAATGAAAATGAACATAATTACCATTCGTCACCATTGATCTGCCTTCAACACCAAGGCCAGAGAGTGCACAGTTACCTATAAGAAGGCTTCCAGGGTGAGCTGGAGAGATTTAACCAGAGCATAAGCATGTTATCTTCCTTTGATACATAATCCTACACCTGGGACATTATTCTTTGGAAATAGTTCAGAGGAAAAAATGGTATGCACAGAGTTGTTTATAATAGCATTAGTTGTTAGAATACAGTCCTAAACTCTATTGTAAATGTACCCTTGGATAAGTGAGTCAGTCTGTTATGATGTATAACATCCGTGGGTTTACCTTTGAGAGGGAGCACTGGTGACTACAGAGAAAATCAATGCGCAACAGTGAAAAATAAAGGTCTCCAAACTATGCATATTTAAAAAATAATGTGGGAAAGTCTACCAATCCACTTTAAAATGAGAATTCTTTTGTGTTTAAATGAAAAGAACATGGATGCTGCTTTCACGGACTTCCCCTCCCTCAGTATTACGTCATTTCAATGTAAAATAGGACTCAGGGGAACTTTTCTGAATGTTCTGGTCATTAGTGCTGGTGGAAGATACCTCAAAGTGCCTGTTCCTCTCTCGGCCACCATAGGTCAAGATGGCGCCCACACCATCAAGGTGGGGCCCACCACCATCAGTTCCACCAAACATAAATTACCCATTCTCACTAATGCCTGAATGTACCGTTAAGATGCAAATAGTCTATATTGTGAAACAAGCCAGTCATAAAAAGACATTTTAGGATCCCGCTTACATGAGGTACTGTACTTAAGAGTACTCAAATTCATAGATAAAAAATAGAAAGATGGTGGCCAGGGGCGGGGGGGAGAGGAGGATGGGCAATATGTGTATAAAGGATGAGGTTTCAGTTGGAAGGGCAGAACAGTCTGGAAGTGGATAGTGGTGATGGTTGCCTAACAGTATAAAAATATGTGATGTCTTAGAGCTGCGCACTTAAAAGTGGGTAAGACAATAATCCGGGATGGAAGTCCTAGAGATTGAACCCAGGACCTTGTGCATGCTGGGCAAGTGTTCACCACGGAATTTCACTGCTAGCCACAGTGGCAAATTTTATGTTATGTATATTTTATTACACTAGAACACTAATCTACATCAACTAAAACAAAGTAGGAAAAAGTGTGCATTTGATTTGATGGTATTCTGGGCCTGGAAGAGGAGCCAACCTCCATCTGAGCCTTGTGCTGAAGTACATCCCTCATCTGCCTTCTTTAATCCTCATCTTCAGCCAGGTGATTCCAGAAGCATCTGTCTGACCTGCAGCTGTGAGGGAAGCCAACCAATCCCACAACCCATTAGAGCACAGGCATTCACACAGTGACTTGGGACATCTTGGACTCCTAGGCTGTTCCTCTTTATTTGCAGAACTTACCTCTGATGTGCAGGACATGAGTTAGCCCTTTAAAGTTCACCTGGACAACCACACACACACACACACACTGCTAATACTAGCAGCACCCCCTGGGAGTGCCAGAGCCACCCCTAAGCCCCTCCACTCAGCCCACAGTCACCCTACCCTACCTCACAGGGGCAGCGCTTGTAATTATCAAGAGCCCGGGCTCTGAGATCACTCCTGGCTCAGAATCCTGGCTCTTGCACAGCCCCAGCCAAGGCAACAAGCAGAGCATCAGAGAGCTCACCTGCCTGTGGGGTCAGTATGTGGCGCCTACAAAAGGCTGCCAACTGCCTGATGTGCAGGAAGAGCCTGAGGTCAGTGTCACTGTCGCCTTTCCCCCGCTTATTCCCAGCATAGAGTCATAGCAGTTGACAGAGGCTAGAGGCTTGTTCCCTCCCCAGAATGTGAAGACAAGAGAAACTTTAGCCCTTGGGTCACACCAGGGATGGAACCCAGGTGAATCTTCAAGTTCTAGCCCAAGGTTGTTTGGTCTTATGGCTTTTGTTATAATTTGCAGTGCATTTTACTGCAATGGACCAGCCTAAGCAGCCTCTGAGGAGCCTTCCAAACCCAGACTAAGGATTCACAGCAAATTAAACAGATTTATTTACTGCAGCACTTGCCAGGGCCTCTAAAGTGTGAATATTAATACACGTCTCCAAAATAGGGCATGAGGTGCAGCTTTGGCCCAGGAATGACTGTAGGATGGACGTTCTAAAGAATGCTCTTTGGGGAGTGTCAGAATTCAAGCGCTCTGTCCTCAGGAGTCACAGAGAAGACTTGATGCTAAAAGTCTACTTTTCACCCACAACGGATAAAACCTAACCCCTCACATAGTCGCTTCCATTTCAGAAGTCAGCCTGTGGGAGCAGCTCGTCAGGCAAAGCTGGTTCTGGGGCACAAAACAATCAAGTGTGTATGAAGGGCCATGTTATTGCACCACAGTTCTTGGTCTTCAATTATGAGGAGAGGAAAGAGAAGGGAACCTTGACCTGATCATCTTCCTATAGACGGATCCCCTGAGCATCTTCAGGACGTTGACTGGAACTGTTTCAGGCTCGCTCCTGTCACTAGGACTTGAGCATCTCCAAAGGTCGCCCTTGTCACCATTCAGCAAAGTATAATACATTTACTTGCTTCCTGGGCGCACAATCCACACCAGTCCCAAGCTCAGAGGAGCTGCATGATTTGTTTAATGCTCTGTCATCTCCATCTTGAAATTCTTAACCTTTTTAATACAGGATCCAAGACCTGCAATTTATGTAGCTGATCCTTACTAGAAATCTAGGGGCCATGTTGCGAGGTGTGGAATGACAATAGGGGAACAGATACTGTTCACGCTGTGAGGACTCAGCACACACTGGGAGTACTTGGTGCTCCCAGAGAGCACAGTTCCCAGGCCAGGGCAAAGCCCAGACCATGTTCATTTTAGTTTTTAAGATCTCCTCAACCAAAATTTGTCTGCTCTTCTGGATCCTTTGTCAGGGAAGATGGGATGTCATATGAGTGTCAGTGAGAAGTATTGAGAAGCACCCCGGTGCAGGATCAGACCAAGAAATCATGGTGGGAGGGGCAGAAGGATTGGGGCCACAGCAGCTCTCAGCCAGGTACAGCCCTGGGCCTACTCTGCTTTGCCCTCTGGAGACACAGGTGGAACATCCTGCTACTGACACAGTGGCCTCTGCAGCCAGCACCACCCCTAGTTGACATGCCTTGTGGACCCTCAGGACAATGCACCATGTCGACACACTACGGCAGGCCACCCTGCTTGACTTTGACTGACAGGCTAGCTAATTTCAGCTGTCCTCACCCACCTGCATGCTTCCACCAGGGCAGAGAGGGGTCTTTACAGAGGTGACATCTTTCCCTCTGGGCCTGGGACCCCTATTCACTAACCCCTCACCCAGCTGCTGGTCCCAATCTGCCATTCTTGTACTAAGTTTAACTATGCCAAAGGGGACGCTAAGGAGTTTCCTATAATCCTGTTTGTCCTGTGTGCATCTCTTCAGCCTGACAGCTCATCAGATAGTGCCTGCAGGATGAAAGACATGCAAGAGCCAAGGTTTACAGGGCACCCTGGGCCCAGACTTGGCTGCTGGTGGAGTCTCAAGCCCTTCCCTAAAAGCTCCCCGGCCTCCTTAGAACCACCAAGTACTGGCCATCAACTCATAATATCTACAGTAAACAGTAATAGGTGCTACAGAACACTAAAACAAATTGTAGAGAAGGGTGTATTAAAGAGGTAAATCCATTGCCAGTAGACATCCAGTTAGGAAGAAAAGAGCCAGAATTCTGGTTCAGATCTGCCTCAAAGCCATGATGGCCCATAATGGTCCTATGCCCTGCTCACTATAGGGTTGTTAACCCAGTAGAAATGTCAAAGGACACATTCAAATAAGCTTAATTTCTGTGGGTGCACCTGACACCCCACAGAGCAGCTTTGTTGGGTCAGAAGTCACAGTGTAGGTTCCTGGGCCAAGGTCATCCTCTCTACCCATGTTCTGAAGTTCTCTTCATCCCAAGTAAAGGCATTAAGCATTCTCTACCCACCCCCAACCTTCTGAACACAAAACCATCTGTAACCTGGCTTCATCATAATTAGATTTTTAGCACATGATTATAAGATTAATGGATTAATTATAATGTAGTTGTAAATCATTAAAAACATTACTCAAAAACATTCTCTCTAAGGATTGTTTGGGGTGGCTCAGGGCAAGATAATTAAAGGGACAGAGTTAAAAGTGAAAAAACATAACCACCAGTCTAATTAAAGATAATCTAATTAAACCCCAAGTTAACAGAGCTAACTCTGCAGCCTGTGCTGTGCTGTGCTGGGAAACCAGGTCTGTTTCTCTGTGCTGCATTAGAACATCAGTCCTGTGTCGGTGAACCACTTCTAACTATTTTCCATCTTTTTCTTTGCTGTACCAGCCTCCATTTGACGGTGAGGATGAAGATGAACTGTTTCAGTCTATAATGGAGCACAACGTTTCCTATCCCAAATCCTTGTCCAAGGAAGCCGTTTCCATCTGCAAAGGAGTGAGTGGAGGGGGGCCTTCTGTGATCAAGGACTGAGAGGGACAACACCTTCTCCACATTCCTGAGAGAGACTGGAACTATCACAAATGCATGCCATTTTGGCCTCAGAGAGCTTGGGGACATGCAGGGCATAATGGGACAAGGAAGGCCAGGCATGGACTCAGACACCAAGATTCCCAGGCCCCTTGCCCAGACCTTCATGGCTCTGCCCAGCTATTTCCAGTCCGTTTCATAGCACTGCAGTGGAAAGGGTGACTGCCACATTCTGCTGCATTTAGTCTTTGTTAGTTTCTGTGTCTGTGAGGTGCAATGTACTTACAGAGCCAGACACAAACCATCGGTGTTCAAAGCACCAAATCTTCACAAAACGAATGTGCGCCAGTAAGAGACCAGGAGGTGAAACCCTAGAAGCCCTGTGGAGCCCATCTATCCCCAAGATGGTCAGGATCCCCACTTCTGACCACAGGATGGGCCTTACCCCTTTGACCGCTGCACAGAGGAGGTCTCATGTGTGCCACACTCCTGGGCCTGGCTGTCTTCCCTCGGTAGGGCAGTTGGAGGTGTGGCCACGCTGCCGCCCGTGGTATGATTTCTTCATTCATGTTGCATGTGGTGCTCACAGTGTGAACACACTCAGTTTGTGCACCATCCCATTCCTGGCAGTGCTGGGAGTGTTTCCACTTTGGCTTGAGGCTGTAACAGATACAACTCTTGGGAACCCTCTGGGTCCTGTGTTTTGGTAAACGTATGAACACATTTCTTTCCAGGAAAAGCTTAGGAATGGAATTGCTAGTTGTAACTTGGCTAGAGTTTAATGGTAAATATTAGGTTGCAAAATTCTTTTCAGACTTGGTGACCTGGAATGCAGCACACTTTTTAAAAATATTTTCTGATTAGAATTATTATTTTCTGATTAGACCTCTGATTAATTCAGTTATTTGCAAAGCATTTACCATGTCTTTCAAAGGCCAAGGAGACCCGGAGTCTGCCTTTGAAGAGCTCACAGTCAGCGCCAGCCCCTCCATCCTGTAGTAGCGTGTTTATTAACTGGCCACCTGCCTTGTTGCTTCCTAATCCATAAGGTGTTGATTGATAACATTTTGTCAGGCAGTAAATAGGCTATGATGCTTGTTACAGTGTCCTGCGTGATGCTGGTCTCCTGCACTTTCAGAACGTATACTTTTTAGTGCTCTTACTAGTGCTTCTTACCAGCTATGCATGTAGAACAGCAGATCTAAAACAGATAATACATGAATTCTTCTCATTGTATTTTGCCAAGGGTTCAGAGTGCTCTCCATTGTCCTTATCATAGCAACCACTGTAAGAAAAACAAAGTGCCCCTTGGCATGCTGTATTTGGCAGTTTCTTATTAGTAAGTTTCCTGACACTGTCCACCACCTCCACCACCAAGGCTCGAGGCAGAGCCAGGCCAAAGGAAAACACTGTCTCTGGAATTCCACTGTTGTCCAACCTGCTTTCTTCCTCCTTTTTCTCTAGCTGATGACCAAACACCCAGCCAAGCGGCTGGGCTGTGGGCCTGAAGGGGAGAGAGATGTGAGAGAGCATGCCTTCTTCCGGAGGATTGACTGGGAGAAGCTGGAGAACAGAGAGATCCAGCCGCCGTTCAAGCCCAAAGTGGTGAGTCCAGAAAAGCAGTTTGTGTTTCGGGTTTCCCAAGCTCTGGTTATGACCTACCCACCCCTCATGTGGAAGAAAGAAAGTCAGTAACCCCTGGCTTTAGCAGGCTGAAGAAAATGGCCAAGTTCCAGGCCTGGAGTCTGAACAGCCAGGATGCCTGTTGGCTTTGGAGAATAAGGACAGGGGTTGGGGAGCCTTGTAGTCCCTGCACTTAACAGGACAGCACAGAGGACCAGACTCCAGGGACACCCACACCCCACCCAGCCATAGTCCTTTCCCTACCTTGGTCCTTGGCAGGACTCAGCCCTCACATCTCTCTTTGACTTTCCTAGATTTGCCTTGCCCTGCTGGGCCCCTGATCCATACATTCATCTGTACCAGATCACAGGCAGGCTCTGGGCTCAACTCCCACGTGGCTACCATGTCCACAGCAAGCACATGGCACCCACCAGTCTCCACATTGCCAGTTTTATTCAGCTTCTTCTGTGTGATTCCCATTTCTGCCATTTATTTAATGAATACTACATGCCAGGCCCTGTTCTCGGTGCTTTACTGATAAGGACTCACACCCCTGTGAGAAGGATATTATTGTCCCCAGGTTGCAGTTGAGAGGACTGAGGTGCAGAGAGGCTGAGTAATTTACAGGAGGACACACAGCAGTGAGGTTGTGGAGCCAGGACAGAGCCCGCGTCCTTCCCCACCACACCGTCGCTCTTCCTCAGTGGCAGCCCCGCAGCTGGTTCTGAGAGTTGATGGCTACCAGTGCGTGTCTTTCTTACTGGTCTATCCGTCGAGGTAGGCTGGGTGTCTCAGGACGCCAGCCTCCTCACGCACCCCACCTGCCGCTCTGCAGGGCCCAGGGCACCTGTGTGTCCCTGTACTTTCTCTCTAAGGGCTGCAGGAGTCACGGCTTTCAGCCCGCCCTGCTTGGCTAGCACTGGGCTGCTGGCCTCGTGCTTTCCTCTCCTGACTGCGAGGAGTGCTGCTTTACCCCTCAGTGAGTGTCAGAAGCATCCGCCCGGCTAGCCCTGCCCCACGCTGTCCCTGACAGGTGCCTCCCATCCTAAGCAGGCCAAGGGGGACCCCTGGGGGAGCAGAGTCACTGCCTGGATAACACAGTCTTGTTCTCAGAGCAGCAACTTCCTCATCAAAAGTGCCTGTATGTCCCAGGTCCAAGAATAAAACTGCTGGTGGTGAGCCCGCTTGACTTTATTTTCCTAAGACATTTTTAGCACAGACTGAAAACAAACTAAAATTAATCAGGCAGGTGACGTCCTCCTGAATCAGCATTTCAAATAGGCCCTTGTGTATCTCCCCCACCCCACATACACCTGGTCTTCAGCCTGCTTGGACGCTGGGAACTCACAGGGGACTCCCTTTTTCAGGGCACAAAACCTAGTTGGGAGGTTTGGGGAGAAGAGAGAGAGCGGTGCTGCAGATGACCTCAGCAGAAAATTCCTGCAGGGATTTTCTTTGTCTTCTTGAATTAAATGTGGAAAGTCGGCAACAGCCTCCTAAACACAGCTTGCTGCTTTGCAGGAAACACATAGAGATGCGTACCAAGCCTGCTTCAGGGGTTGAGCAAAGCACCATCACTTGTCTGTCACTTTCCAGAAAGAGATGAGATGCAGCAAAACTGACCATAAAACACACTTCCTTTTTTTCTGTTTCTTCCCACCTTGATTTCAGAAGAAATTCTTTATTTGCAGAATTTCCCACTTTTTATGGATGGAGACTTGACCTTAGATTCTTAGGTAGGAAAAACTGAGTGCTAGCTAAAATGTTTTAAAAAAGATCAAATTGCCTTTTGTCATAAAGAAACAATACCCTCCCCATACCTCACCCAGTGAGTGGCGCATACCTGTAGCCCCAGCACTGGGCAGCTAAAGCTACCTATCAAGACCCTGCTTCCAGAAGTAAAGAAATAGCCCCCAAATGCAAACAGAAGCAAAAACTGAAGACAGAGGCCCTAGACCTGGGGGACCTCCAACCAGAGGAGGGAGCAACTCATCTGGCTACAGCAAGCTCCTCCTACCTGACAGCCAGTGCACAAAAGAGGAAGGAGCCAGGAAAAACACAGGGCAGGAGCTGGGGCAGCGGGACAGGCTGATGGCACAAGAGGTTAGAAGCAAGGCAGAAGAGAGTCAGGGGCAAAGAGATAAGTGGGAGGTTCCGATCCCTGCATGGCCAGCAAAGAACCACCTCAGAGCTCTGCTTTACCTGGTCCTTCTTCCATGCAATGTGCTTGGCAGCAGAGTTTGGCTCTAGTCCCAAGTAAGGGCCATTTCATGAAAGGGTATCATGCTGGAGCAAAACTACCATGCCAAAAACAGTTCAGGCAATTGAAGAGGACATTTAGGACAGAGGAAAGGGACCTCTGTCTGAGCCACAGAGATGCTGTGGTAAACCCAGGCAGCAGGCAGAACTGACCACAAAGGAACATTATTCCAGGATGCAGTTTCCCAGATCTCTAGGTCTAAAGAGCGGCTCACCGACCCAGCACTGGTTGAAAAGCCAAAGGGCTTACAGATACAATACAGAGCTGAGCCTTCTCTGACAAGCAGTTCTGATATTTCAAAGAGGGATACAGCAACACAAGCCTCACATACCTGGGAGCCTGGATCCAGGACCTGTCTCAGAGCAGCTTTCAGGGCCCTGGGTGACAAACCTTGTCTGTCTCGGCTGGGTTTCTAGCAGGCACTGGTGAAATCAATTTCCCTGGGGTTTGCAGGATTGAGGGTGGTTAGCTGTCCTCATATGCAGTCCTGTGGCATTGAACCTTTATTGTAAAATACCAGCTCTAGGACTTCAAGTATACAGTTATTTGCTGAGTACTTCTGGATACCAAATTTGTGCTTGCAGAATTGGGAATCAATCATCTTTGTTTTATTTTTGTTTTTTGAACCTCCAAATGATAGATTATTCCAGAATCACTGGCTTCCTAAGGAGGATAAGGGTATTAATACCACTGGACATCTACAGGCTTATCCCAGTGTGGGATCTTCTTAATCAGCTTACCAATTGTTAGAGTGACATTGACCAAAGTGCCTCACAAAATATAAGATCCTTGTGCAAAAGACACTTCACAATGCTGTGCCCCACCAGGAGGTCCCTCGTGGGACTTTCCATCTCCCAGTGACATTAAGGCCAGGATCTGCACAGCCACGGCCTGAATGCTGTGTAAGGGGACACAGAAAGGAGAACACAGAGTGATGGGCATCAGGTGTGCAGGGCTGCAGCTGGCCAGAGTCACTCTAAAGGCCAGGTGTGCTATTGTGAAGACGAATGATTGACTAGGACATGGAATGATCACTTGCAGCGTAGAGCCTTTCATACGCTGGTTTATTTGGTACAAGAGCAAAGACAAAGCAGGCAGCTGTTCTGAGCTGTCCTGAAAGCAGAGCAGCCACGTGAGTCTTTCCGCTTCTTTGTGAAAGAAGCACGATCCAAGCAGGGGTTGGGGACTTCAAAGAAACATGATGCTCCAAGGATGAGTAGCATTGGCCCAGACTGGCTGTCATTCCTGGAAATAAACCCAAACCATTGACAAGAGGCCCTTCAGTGTGCAGAAGAGTCCATGGAGAAAGATACTTGAAGTTTTTAACATAGTGCTTCTGAAAAGGCTCATCTTCAGCTCAAGGGAGAAGTGAAGTGTCTGCTCACCTCCCATGGCCCCAAGTGCAGAGGGTGCGGGTGGCCTGAGAAGTGGAAGCTCCAAGATACTGATCAGTGTCCCCTGGACTCTTGCAGGATTTTAGCCTGAATTCATCATTTATGTGAATACAACGACCACACAAAACCTTCACATTTCTCTCCTCCTCCCCATGAGGAGTAGCTGTTTTTATACATACCAGAAATATAAAGTTAGTTGATTTTTCTTTTAAAAAATCCTACCTATTGGCACCAGGAAACAGAATAGCAAGTTCATAGGTAAGCTAGAACAGTCACTGTACTCCCATGATTAGCGAGGAATTAATTTATAAAGTTACCATGAAGAAGTATGCAGCATCTACTCTCAGAGAAAAGTGGGCCTGTCTTTCAGAAGCGGCCTTTCTCAGGAAATCACTGTAGTTATTTTATCAAAAAGAAAGAGGAAAAAATGCTGGGCGTGGTGGCTCACGCCTGTAATCCCAGCACTCAGGAGGCTGAGATGGGAGGATTGTTGCGAGTTCGAGACCAGCCTGCGCTACAAAGTGAGCTCAAGGCCAGCCTGAACTGCATAGGGAGACCCTGTCTCAAAGACAGAAAAAAAAAAAAAAAGAAAAAGAAAAAAGCTTTCATCCGGACATTGTCATCCTTGCAGCAAGAGCCCACTAAGGACAAGTGTGGGCGCCACTGTGATGAGAAGTGCAGTCAGGAGTCATCCTCCTGTCGCCATGCTGTCTGTATTTCACAGTGTCATTGGCTTGATTAGAGAGTCTGATGATGATTTCATTGTCAGAGTTGGTGCCATGGTCCTTTTTGTGCTTTAAAAAATATTTTGAGATTTCTAGTTTCAGACTTGCAAAACAGTTGAAAAAAATAGTGCAAAGACTTTCTGCATTCCCTTTACCCAGATTCCCTAAGTGTTAACAATTCATCGTGTCTGCTATACTTTATTTTTTTCATTCTCTGTCTGAGACTGTGTCCACACACACACACACATACACTTTTCTGAGCCACTTGAGAATAAGTTGTAGGTGTTGTGCCTTTTGACAACTGTATAATTCCATGTGTATTTTCTAAACATGAGGACAACCCACATGCAGGGTTCTTTGAGCAATTACTCTGCAGATTTGTTTGTATAGGGCAGCAGCTATCCGGGTAGAAGAGGGGGGCCCTGCCATGACTGTCTAACTGATACAATACCCGGGTGCATTAGCAGTTCTCTTGAGTGACAAACAGATTCACTTTCTTGGTCTTTCCAGTGAGCTAGGAATGGTGATACTAATTAAAACTGAGATTCTCAAGATTTGGGAACCGTGCTGACAATGTAAAATACCAGGCAGCCGTTAGAGACTACAATAAATCACATCATGATATATGTAGGTTTGTTTTAAGCCTTTAAGCCAGTCCAAGACTGGTTTTTCACTTGGTTCATTAGTAGCAAGCACTTTTTCCTACTCTTGGCTAATCATTTGCCCCAATACTTTTGCACTTGGAAGAAATGAGGTATGTAAAATAATAATCAATAGAAATAAGTAGCACTATTGCAAGCCCTGGGGCCACAGTGGTGAGGGAGGACATAAATGCAGCCCTGTCTGACTCGGGCTGCTTGCAATGACTGACAAGATTCGCTTGTCTGAATTGAATGTCCCTGACCATGTTGGGCATTGTACTGTTCTTGGAAAAGGAACCTTGAGTCCTATGAAGCTGCACATGATCCAAAGAAAGACCGAGCAGAAAGCACATGTGTACTCCATAGGAAAGAGCCCGTGCTAAGTCAGAACCTTTGCCCTTGTCCGTGTATGGCTTGTACCCCCACAAGGATGCACTCCTGAAACGGGGATGACAGCCTGTGTCATCCATAAATAAAACCCACCTCTCTGAATCATACCCGACCCTTCTGAGATAGTGCTCTAAAGCAAGAGATGAGGCAAATACTGTGTAATTTTGTCTAGCAAACAGCCCATCTCGAGGTCTGAGCACAGGTGATGCCAGTATAAAACGGGCAAGGTTCTAGTCCCCTTAGAACAGTTATTATTATTAAACACTATCTCTTGATGGTGAAATAAACAGAAAGTAGCAGAAAAGGATATAGAGAACAGGTATCTCTCCTTCCCCAACTACTGATCCCACTACTCATGATCTTTCCTGTAACCTCTAGAAAGTTAGATGCATGTGTGAGCACAAACGTAAGTGAGGCTGTACCATGGTTTGTATCCTGCATCCTTCACACAATGATATATGTACTGCAGAGGTTTTACCATGTCAGCTCGAGTGGGTTCACAGCATTCTTACCTGGCCATTCTCAATTCTGGAGTGCCAAGGCCAGGAACTGACTATTCTCCAAATCCTCTCCTCTGTCCATTCTTATCCTCCAGACTTTCTGTACCAAAATGCACTGGCTTCAGTGGGCATCGAGGCCTTCGGTGAGCACGTTTCCAAAACATGGGTGACTAAACAAGCAGACTAACCTGGCCTTAACCTCTCACCGTGTGCTCCTGCTTGCATTGGTCATGCACGGAGACCCCTCCCTGAGCATGCTGACCTGCACGGAGAGGGCAGAGCAGTGGTCAGAGCCCCTGCCTGGGGGTTCACAGTGTGGACCTCACCTCCCAGGAATTCCGAGGCAGGACACACCCACGCACTTCTGTTGGTTACTTAATTCCATGAGTACAGTCTATGTTCTACATGGAGACTGTGGGGACGTTCTAACTAACATGCCCCATTGTATAGCACAGTACTCGGGTTCCCTCAGCCCTGGGACTTGAAACGCGTCTAAGAGCTCCCTGAAAAGACGCGCATTGTGCTGCCTCTAGAATTGTAGCAGGCATTCCCACCTTTCTGTGTTTTCTTTCCTGTCATTTTACAACACGTTTGTGCTTTATTTGTTCTGTACTCTGCCCACTCTACTGAGTTTTGTTTGGTTTTGCTTTCTAACAGTCGTACTTTTTAAGCACTCATGTTCTATGCCTGTAGGGTTTTATTCTGTTCAACCGAGACACTGAGTTAAGGAGCAGGATTGAGCCCACCATGTGCATTGCCCGTGCCCAGTGGGGCTACCACAGGGAAGCCTCAACCAGGAAGCAGTGCAGCTCGGTCTCTCCTGCACCCTCACAGGACACAAGGACACAGGATGCAAGGGCACAGGATGCCAGGGCTTGGAAATGGTTTGCTTGCCACACAGGGTGTGGATGGGGAGTGCTGCTATCACAGCCTCCCCCAGAGTTCACAATACTCCATGCTTTCGAACCTCATCACAAGCATCCCTGATTTCTCCCGGGTTCGTGTTCTTACTTGATGCATTTGCCAAATGGCTAAGGGATGTCAAAATGACAAAAGGTCATTCCTCAGTCCAGACATAGGGAAGTAGATTATTAATAGTGTTCGTCCCTCAAATATTGATTGCACAGCTTTTTCACACTGCTACATGGGTGGTGCCTTATGTCTCTGTTGGCCTCCTCCTTAAGAAAGGTCTCTCACATGTTCATTCCTCCATCCTCACGTTCCTCAGCCTTGGAAGGTGAGTGGCCCCATTTTACTGTACAGAGAGATGCAGTGAATTTCTCACAGCTGGACCCTGGGCCTCTTGATCTTAGTCTGGTCCTTCATTCTTTGGTGCCACCTGCTTTCATCAGATGTCAACCCTGCCCAGTGAACACAAAATGCCATCCCGTCTCAGAGAGTACCAGGGGACCTTCTCTGAGCCAGTGCCATGGCCCAGTCAGCTGTGGGATGTCTCCTGCACCCTCTTGCCTTCCATTTTTGTCCCATGCACGTTACATCTTGGCTGGCCAAACCCTCAGGTGGTAAAAGATGTGGGTGGTCTTTGAAGGTGAAGACGACCGGGCATGCCTCACCCAGGGATTTGCTCACATGTTACCTTCGATGCTGTGTGTGTCAGATGACCTAGAACGTGGAGGCTGTGAACAACCCGAACTGCCACAGGCTCAGAGGGCCATGGAGGCTGCCCTTCAAATGGCTGTGGTAATAACCTTCCTGCTTTCTCCTGAAGAGTATCAGGAAGATGTCTGCTGTCAGACTGGCTTCATTTGTCACTCATTCCCTTGCTCACTCACCGATCCACTAGCTGTTCCTTAACCCCTTCATCTCTGTCTCCCTTTATTCTCTACCCAGTTCCAAATGGCACCTGAGACCCTCTGCCCATTAGGCTGATTGTTAGGTGTAGAATTGGATCATAGGTAGCAGGCAGAACATACTAACATAGTATGGAAACATAGTAACCTGTTAGATCTACTGTGTGTCTTTCCCAGGGATCCAGAGACCCCTGACTTCCAGGATTCTGTTAAAGTGGTGCTGGACTGTGGCAGTTTTCCACATAACACCTTTGTGGGGTTTTTGTTTGTTTGTTTGTTTGTTTGGCACCTGGATCCCCTGGCTTGCAAGGCAGGCCCTTATGCCTGCTAAGCTAAATCCCAGCCCCACACCCACAACGTCTTAAAAAACAAGCAGTTCAAAGGAACATCTTGAAAAACAAAGGAAGTCGTCTCTTCCTGGGTCTAATTCTGCTTAGAGGTATGGAGAGCTAATATTCAAAGCATTGAAAGATATTCCACATCAGGAGAAGAAGCAATATTTTTCACAGTACTAAATAAATGGTAAAAAAAAAAAAATAGTATTTCTCCCAGTTCCTTTCCCAGGGGTATAGGATTTCTTTTCTGGTATAATCACCCTCAAAGAAAGATGCCATTCTGAGTCTGGGATCTCAATCCATTCTTCAGACTCAGCCTTCAGCTTTATCAGGGCTGTATTCTTTGTGACTTGCGAGGATACACTCATGGCCCTTTCTTGTCCCACCATTGATGCATCTGAATTTGAGTGGTTCAGTTTTTATTCTTTGCCTTTGCCCTGTCCTTGCTGCTGGTCTCTTCATCTAAGGCAACCAGTTTAAGAAAAACTTTCATTTGCCAAAATGTGATCTCTCCTCCCTCTCTCTTTTCCTCTTCCTCTCTCTCTGTGTCCCTGTCGCTCTGTGTCTCCCTTTCTCCCTCTCTCTCCCTCTTTACTCTCTGTCCTCTCTCCTCTCTCTGTTGGGGAAAATTCCAGAGAGATTTGCAGTGAGAAAGAAAAGGAGTATGTCCAGTGGTGAGTGGTTTGGAGACCAACAGCTGCATTTCTGCTCAGTGTGACCACAGAGTCGTGATTACCCTGATCTGGGGCCCTTGGTTTCCCCTTAGTGCTGCAACCATCAGCACAGCCATGGCTACCACGAGACTTTAGCCACAGAGGACTTTTGCTTCTCTCCCTACAGTATTTGATTTCACAGGCATGGAAACCTGGAATAACCCTTCTTGGGACACAAACTGTAGAATTTGATATCCTCAAGCATACATCTCGATCCTTCTTGATGTTCATGTCTACATGATACCCTTTTTAGATTTTTCAGAACTTTCCTCTTAGTTTGCTTTTGATTTTTCTTTGGCAGCAAACCAGTGGCTTTTGGAAACTTCCCTTTGAAAGGTGATTTGTGAGTGCAGTGCCATGAAGATGGTACTCAAAGGAAAGGGTCAGACCTGTGTTTCTCAGAACAAATCAGTAAATCTAAAGCTAGACAGACATGTACTGAGCCAAGGCACATCTTACCATGGCTCGCCCTGTCTTTCCTTTTAGGGATTCACATTCTTTGATCACTTTGTCTCAGAAATTCCTTCTTGTTCATCTTTGCATGGTTAGTGAGTTACCAAGAGAAGCACAAATGGTGTCTTATTAAGGATGCACATTGCCAGCCTCTGGAAGCCCCAGTAATAGATTCACTTGAATTTATCCAGGAAGTAGCTATTGATTCATCAGTTTCCAAAAGGGTATTTTCCTCCAAGCCTGCTCCCCAGAGGCTGTAACACTTGCGTACACTGCTTTTGCCTTGGGCTTCTGCAGCTTCTCCATTCCCGTTCCCACACAGAGCTGTTCCTGTAGTTCCCCTGTTGGGCTCCTCCATTTGCCTTCATTCTGACGGTGGGGCCTATGCAGCCTTACAGTACAGTCCACACAACTATGTCCCAGGTTTTCTCTACAGCAGCACTGTTGACTTTTTGAGCCAAGAAATCTTTGTTGGGAAGCAACTGTCTTGTGCATTTAGGATGTTTAGTGACATTCTGATCTCTACTAGGTGACAGTGGCGCCCCTTGCTCAAATAATGATAATCAAAAATGAGTCCCTTAGGGGGAAAAAATCTTCCTTGGTTTTGAACCAGTGCTATTTCAAAAGGAGAGGGTTATTTGTTTGTTTGTTTTGTTTGTTTGATACCAGGGATCGAATTCACGACCTGGCACTTGCCAGGCAGGCGCTTATGCCACTGAGCTAAATCCTCAGCAAGGAGAGCTATTTCTTTAGCCGTCTCCATCATCACAACAGTATCTGAATGAGGTGCCCCAGTGGAAGCTAGTTTCTGTTTGTTGTTCATCCAATGAATCACTCCTGATTATCCTGCAATAGTGTTCGGGGTAGAAGTGTGCCCTTCCGTACTTCTTGAAGAGCCTTTTGCAGTGGTTCAGAATGGAATATGCATGTAGGATGATGGGAACTGTAGATTCTGCTTCTACTGATCTTTGCTTTGAAGTGCTCTGTCCTCTTCTAAAGAAAAGCATCATAGAAATGCAGTGAAGCTTTCTGTTCCATCTGTGGGCGGCAGGACTGTGACAAGTAGGTCTCATAGTCAGTGTGGCCTCTGAAGATTGGCTTGATGAGCCCTCCAACAACTTTAGCACACACAACTCTCCCCACTACCCATTCCCCGCACCAACCCCCAGTGGCACAAAGGCCCCTGGGGTTTTGAGTGGATGGTTGCTTATAAAAATAAAGATGACCCCAGTAAAGAAGGCTGTTACTTACAAAGATTGTACTTTGAATTTAGGACCTGCCTGAAACCCTCACACGTACTTAGGAGCAAGTTTTTTTTATTTTGCCAAGGATGCAGAATCTGTAATGAAACTAGAGGATCTTAGAAAATAATGGCGGTAAGCCAGGCAAGGTGATGCATGCCTGTAATCCCAGCACTTGGGAACCTGTAGCAAAGCTTGAACTGTGAGTTCAAGGCCAGCCTAAGCTATGTAGTGGGACCCTGTCTCAAAAAAAAAAAGAAAGAAAATGGAAGAGGTATGAGAAAGATGAGAAAGTATAGCCCATAAGATTAAACTTGTCTTATAAAACATAGCAATATGTATTGTACTCTGACCACATGCTGAGTTCTATGAGAAACTGCACCTTTGATCTTCATAACAACCCAGAGAGGGAGGTACAGTTATTCTCCCTACCTTACAGATGAGTAAATCAGGTAGATCCCACTTCATAGTCTACCTAGAGCTACCCTCTTTTACAGCCACAAGAATGCCTGAGTGAGTTAAATTTATGTTTGCTCAGAATTAACTCACATTTCTCATAGAATTACCAGTAAGTAAAAGGGCAGTAATTTGCAACACTTTGAAAAGATCATCATTAGTAGCATCATTAAAGTGCCAGCTCTTCTTATTTCAGGATCACCCTTGGGTCCTGGAGAGAGTGATCTGCTGCCGCGCTTACGGGGAGCTGGAAAAGTCCCTCAGATGGACTCAGCCTTCCCAGTAGTGCTCCCTGTGCAGCTGTGTGCTATGTTTCTGAGACAATCAAAGGGCACATTGGCTTCCACCACCAATTTGCACAGGGTGCTGGTGGGTCCTGGAGGAGAGTAATATTCAAGACAGACAGCGGGCTTTGCTCTGCCTCTCCAGCCTCCCCAGAGCACCTGTGCAAATCTCCAGTCTGAGTCCACACTGCACATGAGCACCACATTGCCCTGTCTGTCAACTGATCAGCCCTTGCAGGACTCCCTTGGCACCCAAGAGCACATCTCCCACCCTTGCCCCATACCTCTCCCCTACTGGCTAAGATTAGTTTAGGCTCTGAGTTTCTAGACTGCCCCAGCGGGAAGGCAAAGATAAGCAGCCTTTGCTTTGTAGCAAATACTTTTGCAAAGGGCCAGATATGGAGCAGTATCCTGACCCACTCAGTCCAGGAGTAGCTGCCCGCCTTCCCAGCCAGCATCCTGGCCTTTTCAACATGGTGCCATGACTGATGGCTCTGTGTGTGCAACTTTTATGTTCGTAGCTTGGCTTGCTTGGTGAACTGGAAGTGAAATAAGAAAGGCTGTCTCCTTGCTGCTACCTTACTGCCAACATACATTTCTACCTGGGATTTTCATTCTGGATGTATGCAAATATTTACAATCAAGTAACTGTTGTTTGCTCTGCCTGGCTTCTGATTCCAATAGACCTGTAAGCCCTCCAAGATCTTCCTGCCTAACCAGCCCCACCAGACCACACGCCTCCCCACCAAGTGCTGTCAGAGAGCTCCTCCTTGGGCTTTATAACATGTACTGAGCTTTCCTCTTTTTTTTCTCCACAGTGTGGCAAAGGAGCCGAAAACTTTGACAAGTTCTTCACACGAGGGCAGCCTGTCTTAACACCACCAGATCAGCTGGTCATTGCTAATATAGACCAGTCTGATTTTGAAGGGTTCTCATATGTCAACCCCCAATTTGTGCACCCGATCTTGCAGAGTGCAGTATGAAACTCACCAATGAGAGCAGATGCTTCCCTACCCCCAACCCCCGCCTCCAGCAATGGGAAATTATCCTTAATCCTAAAATTTGAAGGCCACGGCCTACGTCTTGTTCCACATGGAGGCTTGAAATCTGTAGGGTCATTAGTTCACGTGATCAACTTTTCAGGGTCTCTCTCTTACAACCAAGAACATTGTCTTAGTGGAAGATGACATAATGTACAGTGTCCAGTTTAATTATGTAGAAGTCACACCTGGCTGTAGGTTAACACTTCCTAGAAAGCAAACAGACTCTTGCCCCTTTTTGGTACGATCTGACATATTCTCCATATCCTCCGTCTATGGATTTTCACCATCAAGATCCCCTAACCAGAGATGTTAAAGTGAAGCTGTTCAGCTCAATGGACTGGAAAGACCTCCACCCAAGATGTCTTTGGAATGAAAGAGCAAGGAGCCCAGAGAGTGAGCATAGAGGGACTGGGGATGGGAGAGGCTTCGCGATGCCTACCGCTTCTGTCCTCTGCCTCAGTGGAAAAAGACCCTAGAGTCTCAAAGGCCAGGATGAACCTAATCACTGTTTCCAAAGAGTAGTCCAGCGGTGAAAGACAGAAAAAAGAAAAGGAAAGAAAACTACAAATGAGAGTTGAGAGAATCTCTCATCTGTTGCCCTACTGATTGATAACTATCTTGACACATTCTTTTTAAGAGGCCAAATCATCTAAGGATTTTGCTAAATGAGCTTGTGAAATCTTTCCAGATCAAGGATAAACCAGTGTGTATGTATGTCCATTTTGATCTCTGGGAGATTATTCTTCAATCCAGGGTGCCATCAGTAATCACGCCACTACTCACGAGTGTTGTTAGCCAACCCCCTGCCCCTGCACACACACACACACACACACACACACACACGCACACGCACACGCGCACACACACACACACACACATGAATATTTTGGTACCTATGTTGTTACCCTTCCTAAGTAGCTGAAGTGTACACCTCGCATCCCCCTTGGGTTTTTTTACTTATTTATTTAATAGGCTGTGGTGTCATTTATGGAAGTACGCTGTACAGTAACTTAACATGTTGACTCTAGCATAAGTACCTATTGGTTTATTTTCCTCCTTTCTTTAGCCCTTGACATCCACTTAGGGATGAAAAATAATACAGTTTGGGTTCCCATTTCCAGTTGTGCTGAATGACATACCTGGTTCTGTAGAACAGGACACTTGGATACTTACAAGCTGAAAGATGTTTTCTTGCTAGAAGGATTTTAATATGTTTTGCAAATGCATCATGCAATGGATTTTGCATGTTTATAATAAACCTTAATACCAAGTGAATCTATATTGATATAATCGTATCAAGCATAAAGAGAGTATTATAATAATTTTATAAGATACAATTGTGCTATATTTGTGAAGGTTTATGTTTCGTATCTGCTTTTATGATTAAGTTTTAGTTTAATTCTTTGCTGCTGTGCTTCCTCTTCGTCTTTCCCTGCACACTGTATCAGATATATTAATTTTGTAATGTAGATCTAATTTCAAAAATGAATGGCTATTTTACATGTTTAATTAGGCTCTTACTATATATATCTTCATAGATATCTATATAGGTATATAGATATATATTTGATTCTACCTGCAAATCAGTTTTGTTGGTGGGGCTTATTTTTGAGAGGAGCCTCTCTTAGTTTTTTTAATGTCCTCTTTCCTTGGAGTTCCTCTTCCTTTTGGGACAGTGGGAAGAGTTTGAATCCAGTCTCTCGGTATGTTTGTGTACATGTAGCATTGTCACAGCAGCTGTGCGTGTGTCTGTCTGTCCGTGTCTGCGTGTCTTGTTCTTCCTTTTAACCTGTGATGGTCGGAGACTTGAGGGCAGCATGGATGGAGCAATCCCCTTCCTGCTATGTGTACTTGGACGCGGAAGGATGTAGCCTTTGTGAAACAGCCCACATGTCAGTCCCTGCGGTTTTCAGAGGCTTCACATCTCATCTGGCTGTTGCTCGAGCTGGTCATCCCCATCCTGCCAGGGGCATGTCTTTAGCAGGAAATCCTTCCAATGCATTGTCCTCAGAAGAACCAATTTCCTGCAGCACAAAAGACAAGTCAGAATGAAAGAAACTGTTGGTCCTTACAGAAAGCTGCTCTGTTTCCTCCCAGAGCATCACCCAGCTAAGTGCTCCTCATTTTTACTCTCTGGATGTTCGCCTGAAGTTCATACAATGCACTTACCACAGGCCTTTGACAAAAGAGGCCTGCATTCTACTGAAAATCCCTGACTGGAGATAGAAATGGAGTAGGAAATAGATCAGAGCAGAAAGAGCAATTTCTTGGGTCATCTTTTATGGACTTCAGACTTTAAAACTCAAAAGGGGTCCTTACACACTGATCCCTTCAGTCCAGCTGGTCAGCTTACATTCTAAGGGCATGTCCTCTTCAGAACCCTCCAATGGGAAAAAGAATTTGTTTGTAGGAAAAGCCCAGAGACAGAAAGGTCAGTCCCCTTACTCCGGGTGGAGCAGCAACGAGACTGACCCCAGCCAAGCCCCAAGATGTGAAGAAAGTCCCAAGAGGAACTCACGCTATGACCATGTCCAGTGTGCCAAGCTGCCTGCTTATTTTAAGCAAACAGTGGGCTTGAGCTCTCCCTCCAATAGCCAAAACACAGCTTTAAATTATTTCTGCTCTTCTAGGAAATATATCCACCTCTCAACTCTCTTGTATTCTTAGAGGATGTGTGACAATGTCTTCAAAGAAAGCACCCTGACCATGAGGCCAGCACTCTGCTTAAGGGAAAACAGATTGGAGAACAAAGTGGGGTGGAATTGGGGGATTAATGGTAAAAATAAGGGCCTGAGGATGTGTTCATAGGGTAGCCTATTTTATACATCGAATATTAAATTTAGAAAAAGGCTAATACTTTAAAAATATGTTCAGCCCAGCCCAGAAGACTAACTCATGTGGATAACCATTAACGACTGTGAGCCACAGAAATGACTGATAAAATGCAATACCATTTTCCAATTTCACAGACCTTGCATGAAATGAAACAGCAGGGAAAGGCCTGCTGTTTGGCCTTCAGCAACTCTGCTGGAGGCTAGCATGGGGGGTGGGCTGGGGCTTGAAAGGTCCAGTCGCTGGGGACTTTAGGAAGGGTCAGGGACTACCTGCCTCTCATCACTGCATACATTTCTAGGCCCTAGAGACAAGAATTAGCACATCTGAGTTTGTGCAGGACCCTTCAAGCTTTGACCCCCAAAGGTGTTCTACATTGTTTTCCCTTGGAAGGTGGCTGCTACCCAGCAGCAGAACTTCTGTGGCTGTAGCCCAGTGAGCTGCAAGCTCTGCTCTTAGCATTGTGTCCAAAGTTACCCATTGCTTGATTTGAGTGGAAGAAGGCAGAGTCAGGCCCAGCTCTTCCTGGATAACAGGAGGCCTGCCTCCAAGGCAGAAGTAATTCAAAAGGTGACTGAGAAACCCCAGGAACCAAAGTGATCGCTCCTCTCATCATCCCTTTCTCTTTTATCCCTGTGGCATCATTGGAGTTGCAGAAAGTGGCTTGGGGCTAAACTGGCCAGGAGACAGAGAAGAGTAGGTTTAGAGTGCATCCAGAGAGACCCTTGCATAAGAGGGCCATGGGGCTTCCCATCTGGGGACACTGGTACAGACAGAGTCACAGCTGGTCTTCAAGACTGTGCTTTTTGCCAAGGACACGGTCTGTTCCTCCTTAGGGAGTACTCCCCCTCAATGCCACCAACATCCTCACCAGCTGGGAGAAGCTGCACCCTTCCTTGAAATGGTTCCCACTTCTTTGGGCAGAGCCAGACCACCTAGTGGGCCTGGGAGCCAGCTATTGCCACCCTTTCCTGTGTGACTCCCTGCAGAGCATTACAGCTGCCCAGGAGGGACGGAGGAGAAGTCGCAAAAACAGCTAACACTGCACTGCCCACCTGCTTCCACTTAGCAGATGTAGGAGGCTTTTTGCTGGAATTTGTTTTCTCAGTATGGCAGAGGAGGGAGAGTGAGACCGTTAGGATTTTAAAAGCCTCCGGAAAGTGACACCATCTGACAGTCATTTTCTCACCTTGGTCTCATGAAGTCCTCCTTTCTTGTGTGTACACATCACACCATTTCTTGTTTATAACCCCGCCAGGGCAGAAGGGCCCCACCCCCTACTGAGCACAGCAGACTGCCTGGCTTGTGAGATGAACACTGAGCGGGGGCCCCCAAAGGATGAAGACCAGGGATAGCCACAGGCAGGATACAGAAAGGCACTCTGGCTATTAGTGGACACACATTAACCTGGCCAGGAGTGTTGGGGAATATTTTAAAGTCATTTTCCTTGAGCTGCTTGGGCTACAGTTTCTGAAATATACTGACCTGTCTACAGTCCCATCATATTCCTTTTGAGCCAATGCAGCAAATCTAGGTAATGCTGTTAGAAAACTCCAGAAAATTAGAAAAGTTATATGAGTTGTATGTGGGTGAAGGCAGACATCCAGAAATGATGCTAACAATTCTGCGACGTAGAGACTCCGGGTGGGTTCACAGATCCCTGTGCCTCTCATCTATGTGATCAGTTGTTAGTTAACAATCATGTAGGCCACAGACATCAGACAGCCTTACAGTGACCCTACAATAATGTCCACAAGTCCCAAAGACATTTTTTTTATCCTAAAAGAAGAGATTAATTTGTTAATTCCAATAGAACAACATATTAGGGCTACTTGTACTTTTTATAGAAAACTTTAATAATTCTTTTAAAATGAGTTTTTAAAATGAAGCTATGACAATTTCGTAAAATTCCAATCACAGTCTCAGCCTGGGTCAGCTAGAACGTGCCTGACCTGCATTCCCACTGCAAGACTCACCCAGGTCGGTGGGCTGTAGCGTCCGCATGAGAATAATTGCAAGCTCAGGTGAAACTCAGCAGGTTGAAGCTTTCTATTTTTAATAGACACTGGGGATAATTGCCTGATGTTTAGACATTTTCAAACTGTAGGAAAGATGGCTGTATTGTCCCTCTTCCAGTGCAGCCCTAGGTAGCATGCTCTGGGTCTCTGGCATCCTTTATCTTGCTCTGTGAGGCTCTGTGACCACCTTTTGGTGAGAGGATTCCCTACACCATCCCCAGATCTCCCATTTGGTGAAGATTCAGAGATGCCCTGGGCAATTCAGAACTACTTCAGTATCCCAAGAAATAACAGCAGAAAATGTGCCTACTAGCTTGTTTCATAGCTATTGCATATGTGGGTAGACGGAATCCTACTTTTCAGAAAACAGACAACCAGTTCACTTTATAAGAACCTTTTTTCTTTTTTTCTAAAATGAAACAAAGGTAGCTTTGCATTTTCTGATAAAACTGTGTCTTTGTCTCCTCTGCTTAACTTTAGGAGTCTGTCTTCCTGCGGTGGTTTGTAGATTCCTGTTAATGTTCTTTCTGGAAGAATGTCATTTTTTGAGAGGTTTCAGTGAACTATTCAAAATCACACAGGAAGGTGGTTCCTATTTTGAGTCTAGAGATTTTCTAAAAATTGACCTCCTATCCTTACTATGATGGTCTTTCAGGATATCTTTTATAGATGATCAGAAACATTTGAAGTTGGTTTTCCTGCATATTTTTTGTTTTTTGAAAACCCTGCCATGTTTAAAGCACTTATTGAAAAACACCATCGAAGACCCCAAATTTGTATGGAGAGAAAAAAGCAGACATTACAGTTTTTCCTTCTGTATAAGGACCTAAGAACAGAACATAGAGGCAGTTCAACTGTCAGTTAACATTTGGTTATATAACAGGTGAAATGGATGTGTAAATTACTGCATTGCTTTCCTCGATTTATATAACCTCTAATCTTTGTTTGCATGATTTGCTTTGTTAGGTACATTAATTGTAGTTTGGCAGCAAGTGTGTATGAATAAAGATAATGATCATTCCTTAGTGTGCCTGGTCTCATTTGCATCCTTTTGTCGCACTGCAATTATTTTTCATCAGCTGTTAATCTAACAGCATTCGACTCTGTACACATTCTCCAGGACGCTTCCGCCTTTTCACCTGTGTCAGGCATGGCTCTCCATTCACTGCTTCAAATACTGGCTGCTTTTAAACAAAGACCAAACAGTGGCTGGGACAGAGTAGTCGCAGGCCCCCCATTCATTTATTCATGAAGCACCTGCCTGGGGCAGGAGTCATGCCAGGCCCTAGGGACAAGGTGAGGAGGAAAACTAGTTTGGCCTCTGTGTACACGGAGCCCGCGCACTTGACCCCCAAACTGTAGGCAGCACAGCAGCTGATGAGGATGTCATCCAAGCATGGCTGATCCTCTTCCATAGGGACGGAGGATTCCCAAAGGAATTCAGCCCAAATCTCAGGGCTTTTTCTCCAGAAATAAATGTGTCTCACAGTCCTGTTTTCCATGCTGTAGATTCAGCTGCAGGGCTATCCCCACTTTTAGCATCAAAAGCCCTTATCCCATGTTGATTGGTGGGTTAAAATAGGGAATTTTTCAAGTGTGGAATACTCAAAGATGCCCAGTGCTTCAAAACTTAACACCAGTGAGGGACTGACCTCAAGAGTAATTTTAAAAATGACACAGTTCCTAAAAGCCAACCATCAGCCTTGGCTGTCTGTGTTCCCTTACATGCTCTTTGGGCATGCTCTCCTGTCATGCTCACACCTTTACCCTCCTCCTGCCCACTCCCCTCCCCTCACGGCCTCCATTCCTGCTGCACCCACACTTGCGTGAGCCGTGTTCCAATCCCTGGAAGCCCTGCACCCAGCCCGCTGAGTAGATATGCAAGTGGTTAATCTGTCCCTAAGATGCCAAGTCACACTTCTGGAATCCAGAGTCTTTCCGCTGCTAATTTAAGTGCCAGGGACAGGGTTTTTTGAGGGAAAACAGAGGCACTGTCAGGGTCTCCAAGCAGTGTTGCCTTGACTCCTGAGCTGGCCTGGAGCTTCACCGTGGACTGGTTGGTTTTACATGTACAATGTATGTGTAATTTGTGGTGGCTTTTGTAGTGACAGCAGGAGAGTGGCTTATAACGTTTTTCACACACACCCAAGCTTCCAACAGGCTGCTGTTGTATTTTGTTTTTACTGAAATGCAGACGAGAATAAAGGCTGCACAAAGCAGTGTCCTCAGAAACAGCCAGGGGCTGGGGGCTGGCGTGGTCCACCAAGCTTTACTCCTGGAGTGACCTTGGAGGCACAGGCAAGATGAGATATGACAGGTTCCTCAAGCTCCGTAGAGACCCAGGGGACAACCTGAGCACAACATGGTGAACCACTGTCCTTCCAAGGGCATCATCGTCACCCAAGATCAAAAATGAGTCCTTCTGTCCAGTAGTGGTTCCTGCTTCCATCCACCCTGCCCACAGCAGCCCAGCAGCAGGTACCATCATGTCCTCTCTAAGCCAGGGTCCTTGGTAAGGCACCGCTGTGCACACTCAAAGGGTGCTCAGCAGTATCTGAAGAGATTTTTGATTGACAGAGCTTGGAAAGGGTAGTGTCCTGGCATCAAGAGGCCAGGCATGCTGTTAAGCAGCCAGTATTACACTGGACGGTCCCAAGAAAACATTTCCTGCCCAGAATGTCATGGGCGCACCATTGGAAACCCCATTCTAAAACATACTGCATGTCCTTCCCCTGTATGCCGCCTGTCCTGACCTCCTTCCTGGGATCCCTGAGGCCACCTTGCTCTCTTGTGGCCTTCCCTATACACTAGTCATCAGGACTTTGTTTGTGCAAGTCCCTGTCCTCTTATGACTGCCCATCATAAACTTCCCTACAGCCTGCCAACCTCACCCGCCCCAGCTCTTAGCACCCTGGTCAGCCATTTAGTGGGGGAGCTCAAACAGGCTGACCTTCTCAGTGTACGTGTGTGCCTGTTATCCCCGGAATACAGACGCTACGGGGGAGCCAGCCTGTCCTGTCTGTTGCTGGATCCAGCCACAAGAACATGGAGCACAGGCTCAAAGCACAGGAATGTTTGAATGAATGAGTGGATCTCAAGACCATTGTGAGGCTGGCAAAGTGTTGGTGGAAACCGTAACTAAGCCGTGGCCCTTGCTCTGGAGGGAGTCACAAGGAAACAAGGCAGATACCTCTCAAAAATTATCACAAGCTTATGCATAAGAAACCTTAATTCTCAAACTCTGTTCTTCAGTCCAGAATTTAGAGGCAATGGTTGCCTGCAGTTACAACTGAGTGATTGCTTAACACTCTGAGCTTTTGCTCTGCCTATTGTGTGCTCTGCGGTTGAAATTATGGTTCAGCTAAAGTGGCCGTGCACATAGGCAAAGGGCATCTGTTTTCACACTCTGTCCCCTCTTGAGAGTGTGCATTGCAGAGAGCAGGGCACTGCCTGCAGGGAGCATGTGAGAAGCAGTGCTGGATATCTCCCTAAGACTTTCAAAAACAGCTAAATCAATATTCTAGGCATGAGAGGAGAAAGTTTCATATCTACAGAAATAAGAAGACTCAATGTAGGCTCAAGGAGTCAAAAGGCACCGGTAAAAATGTCAAAACCCAAAAGTAGAAGGCAGGTGTACAAATACAAGTGTGTTAATATGTGCGCACACACTGATTCTGGCAGTTCCTGACACGCTCCAGTTACTTTGTATGCATTTATTCAAAGCCCACAGTGACCACGGCCCCAACAAGAACCTATCTAGTGTTCATTGTGTAGAAGGGTAAAGGGAGACCCAGACAGGCTCACTGACGATACCCAGGAAGCAAACACCAGACAAACCCAGCTGACTGTAAGGGCAGAGAGGTGAGCCAGGCCTGGTGCTCCGGGGAAGGGGAGGCAGGGAGGCTGCAGTCTGGATGGAGAGGCGGCTGGAAAGAGGGGCTGCGTCCCAAACAAGCAGAAACCTGCAAAAGGGCACCAGAGGGAAGGCTAACCTTCATCCAACACCTCCTGCGTCATCGGGACACAATCATCTCATTTGACTCTAATGGCGGCTCCATGGACAGAGGTCATTGCTCACATCTCACAGAGGGAAACAGAGGCCCAGTGTGATTAACCGGCTTCTGGATGCCTAACTTCTAAGCAGCAGAGCGAGGCTAAGCACCAGGATCCTTCTGTCCTAAGCCTGCCTGGGGGATCAAGGAATAGCATGGCAGAGGGCTGGGGAGTGCAGGACCAGAGCCTGCCAGGGCTTCCTACAGAGCCCCTGCTACTACCAAGGTGATGTTTCATTCTCTTGGCTAACACAATGCTTAGGAGACTAAATGTCCTCTGTAACTGTTTCCAGAAACTTCTCTCCATTTTTGCTCTCTTCTCTCTCTCTCTCTCTCTCTCTCTTTCTCTCTCTCTCTCTCTCTCTCTCTCTCTCTCTCTCTCTCTCTCTCTCTCTCTCTCTCTACTAGTGTGGGAGGAGAGAGAAAAATAGCAGTTCTCAGAAGCCAGCAGGTACCTTGCAGCCACCCTGGGCGGCTCTGGTTGGAGAGCCCTGAAGGAGGGAAGCCAGGTTCCGGAAAGGCCTGTCCACCCTGGGGCTCACCCTCCACCTCTGGGCACCCCTCGATGGACACTCCTTTCCCCTCAGGCAGAAACAATCCAAAGCAAGCATCATGTGTGAGTGCAGAGTCTACCAAAATGAAATACATGATGTCTTTGATAATGGGCAGCCCAGCGAGAAGAGTCTACATGCTACAAGAATATTTTTGCTATTTTAGAAAACTTGCAATAACACTTGATTTTTGCAGCTAATACAAATAAGGAAAAGAAGATCCCACCACCCCCAGTATTCTGTCACACTTCATCTAACTTGATAACTTGCTCACTTCCTTAATCATTTGTCTTACTTAATTATCTTTTGGTGACTGAACAATGAAGCCCTCTTATTAGACTCCACTGGAACTCAGAACCGATCGTCTAAGGCTGAGACCACAGATACTGGCACCCGTGTACATGAACCATTTTAAAATGCATGCCCATTCAGAAGGACACTGGACTGCTTTCTGAGTGGGAAGTCTCTTTCGGTTACAGAAATGATACTCATAGTGCTTGCTTTAAATTTTTTAATTTGGGCTTCTCTGATGAGAAGCAATATTCGAAGCAGCCTACATGTAAATTCCTCCTAGATTTTTACAATATTTCCTAGTCCTTAGTCCTAGTCCTTTCCTAGCAGTCACTTAGCTCACAGTGGCTCTATGGGCTTTTAAAAAAAATTCACCTTTATTCTCTTCCTTAGACATTCTATATGGTGTGCATTGAAACAGCTCCGTTATTTTATTGTTTATGCAAGATCTGCTTAAATGATTTAACTACAAGGCAAGTATAGATAGTCCCCAGTTTTACAAAGGTGTGCAAGTGACACCGTTCAGTGGAAGCCATACTTCCAGTTGGGATCTGTCGTGGGCCGGGGATAGATATGCAATACCAGTACCCTCTCCTGAAGGGCTGCAGATCGTCCACGGTGGACTGTGCTACTAAACCAGCATGGTCAGTGGGGTGGGTGGATCCAAGCATTTTCATTTTACAATGTTTTCCGTTTGACAGCTTTATTGGGATATAACCCCATTGGCAGTGAGAAGCGTTTGTGTAAGACGCACCACAAGTTTGGAAAATAGATAAATAGAGGGAGCAAAAACGAATGGGAATTTGAGAAAGTAAGAATTTGAAGGCAATAAAGCATTTTCCATGTCACAGGAATTTAGTGTTTAGTAAAGGGGAAAAAGCACGCTGGTTGATCCAGTATGTCATCAATAGGCATCAACTAAGAAAGATTTCCTACAAAATACAGATCAACCTGTATAATTTTGTTGAAAGTCTGCATAGTATTCTGCTTTGGACACATGCATTATAATGCCTCCCAACCCATTCGTTTTGGTCTTCACGTCCTAACATTTAGGTGGCCTTTGATAGTTTAACTATCATAAACAACATGATGATGAATATCGTTCTCTTCCTGTCTTCACACACTACATCC